AATATTTTTTTTTTTTTTGCGAAATGTCGTTTTCACCTATGACGTAAACGTTTTGTTCGTTCCCTTTCTTTTTTCTCCCTTCGTTTAATTTAAACATTTTTGCTGTTTAACTTTGAACAGGTCTTTGGAGTGCTTTCTTAAAAATCCAGCTGAGGAAGTTTCACCGGTTTTATTACGGTGGCACTAAGATATGGTTATACGTCCATTATTGTCACCAGGATTACCGTCTATGTATGAGGTAGTTTGCATTATTGTTTTATTTGATTAAATTTCTCATTTCTATTAAATCCTGATCTTTTTATTTACCATTACTTGCATGGTTGGGGGGGACAGTAAACAAATCCGGTATTTATTTTTGTGTCGGACTTCAATCCTATATTTGTTACAATCGAATTCGTGTTCAACACTTATGTTTATTGCCGAATTTTTGATAAATCACATTTCACTCATTATTTTCCTTATTCCATGAAATTGGAATTTATTGAGATAATGAAAAGGTGCATGACGCTTATCGAAACAATCCGTATATTGTTTTTATTAAATTTCACCGCATGGCTTTTCATGAATAGTAAAGTCTGAAAAATCTAACAGGTTTGAGATAATTCAAAAACTAGTAACTACGGATATTTAGGATAACAGTTTTTAATATCTTGATAGATAATTATTGCTAATTTCAATAGCAAGGATGTGCAACTGATCTCTTTAGTACCATTCACAAACCGTGGTATCAGTGCTCCTAGAAAAAATCACACTACACGTGTTTATCATTGTGAAACAGAATGTTTAATGCTTTAATTGACGGTTTTCTATCTTGGACTAATATATCGTAATGACACAGAAGTTACTGTGCTGGAATTATAACTTTACTGTACTGGTAATTATGAACATAATTATAGGTCTACTTACTGTAGTTATTATTCTTATTATAAGCTACTAATATTTGCATACGATCTGCAATTATGATTATACTTAATATTTGATTTATATTTCTCATTATAAATTACACTTTAAAGTTAGAAGATATAAATTATAAATGATAGGGAAATTTTCGAAAGTTCGTAACGTCTTTTATCTTCCGAATTCAAAAGCTATTTTTTGTCCTTTATTCTGAATGCTATACTTTTTTATTAGTGCTAAATTTATTCGTCAAATTTCTCATCTTACTTTTGTGTAATCTATTTTTTAACTCCTCTCTATTTTTCTTTCCGTAAAAACAAAAAAAAGAAAAGGTTTTCTTTCCTCTTTCATTTCTGTCCATATATGTTTGTGCTTTGTAATAATAATCGATAATTATTATCCATACTTTATATATATCTGTGTGGAAGTGTGAATAATATGTAATACTGAAAAAGATGTGAAAAAGAATGAGAGTAGTGAAAATATGAATGAAAATGCTTCTTTTACTTTGGTACTGTAAAGGAAGAGATGAGAAATAAGGCTTATTAACATGCTAATTATTCGACTTATATCGCTGGGTAATTATTGGTAGGCGAATCAATCTAATCAGACATAGGAAAGAAGTAAAAAAAGAAAACTCATCTCTGCTTACTACAGTAATAAGTTGTTGTAAAAAGTCACTAGTTTATATTTTGCTGCACTAGAAAGTAGATCATAAATTGGACACTTTAAAGTTCTTGACTTGACTGTTAGGCTGTTGACAGAATTGTGTGATAGTGGTGTGTTATGTTAGTTTTATATGTATTAAGGAGGAATGATTAGGAAGGAGATGCGGTAAATCTTAATATAATACATGATCAAGATTTGGCTCATTCTTAGCACATTCATTGTCGAAACTTGTGCTATATAAAAGATATGCGTAATTTTAGTAGCAGTGCAGAATTATACGAGAATTTCTCCAGAGGAAATGTTATCATTTATGGTCCTCATGTTTGTTTGTGTGCGTATTTGGATATCGTTATGGAAAGCGTTTGGTATGGATAGAAAGTAAATAAATGTGAAATAGAATAGGAACAGAACAGAACAGAACATTAAGAACAAATTAAACAATGAAGATAAAAGTAGTGGGCAGAACAATCACATTACGGAATGATGAAATTAGAAAAAAAATTTGATTTGAAATTGAAGTCTCAAATTAAAAAAGAAAGGGGGAGGATTGGTTACACGTGACGTCCGTTTGTCGTTATACACTGATTTTTAGTATTTTGTCAACTACTGGTAGCATTTTAATCCAGTGCTTTTGCTAACTTAGATGGAAATCTTGAAGCATGAAGTCGAGGGATCAAAATACACTTAATAGAAATCATGGCTGGTGGAATGTTAGTAATGAGGCTTCCCAAACAAATTATGTTAAGGTGATTGATCACTGAATCAAAAAGTGATGCTGCCGACAAAAAAAAAAAATAAATAGATTTATATTAGTAACGATTTTGCGATTTTGATTGACAACACTGTGATTACTGCTATCATGTAGTAGTTGATAAAATTTTTGTATGGATAAAAATGATTGTTATGCCACTGGATAATTGATAGCATCAATTTCTCTCTCATTTTTTTTTTCGTCATTCAAATGAAAAGGCCATAACATTTATCGCCCAAACATGTACTATGGACTTTTCCCACCGACTGTTTTGTAAAGTTCATAGAATGTATGCACTGTATGGCATAATCTTGGATCGTTGGGTTTTCAAAAACACCATGCTGTCATTGGAAAAGTTGATTGTATACCATATCATAGTGTTATCACTGTAGTGAGTAAATCATGAAGTTTCGTGATTTTCTTTTGTCAAACGAAGTCGACCGTCTATAGATACTTCAAGATTTTTGGATTTTCAAATTCGTCGAAACCTTATGAATCAAGTACGCATAATTATGAATACATGAAAATCCGAGTTTTATTACTGATGGCAGTAATTCTCGAATTCCCTAACAAAGGGCGACCGAATTATTAATCTTAGCCTGAAATGATGAGGCTTCTGAAGATAACGGATAGTTGTGGAACGTTTATGGAGGCATAGATGCTGCAAAAATGACAAAAAAAAAAAAAAAAACAAAAGCTCCCTCCGGTGATTACAAGCTTCGGTTATTCATTCGACGATTGGTAGTGAGGTGTCTGGCATTGGTTATGGTGAAGGTTTTGTTGTGGTTGCTATTTGATTCATCTTGAAAAGATACAATAGGCCAAAAATGTTGCCATTTTTGATTCCTTCAACCGATTGCTGGTATGGCAGCAAACAGCTACATCTTTTTGAACACTTTTGTAACTGTTGTTGATACACAGATGGAGCGAATACGGTTTTGTTATATTGCTACTGTCATTTTTACTGTCGTCATTGTTGCTATTGCTATTATCATCATCCCTCTGAGTTAGAAAGCATTTCATGTCTTAACTTTTGCTGAAATTGCGACGTCTGTAATCATCATCAGTTTCCTCAATTTATCTTAATTTAATTTCAATTCCTATTGAACATTTCTCATTGAATGCTAAATATACAATTTTTGCTCATTTTCCAATAATTAAGCTAAGTGTACTCCTCTCCTATTTACAATCCATTTGACGGAATAGAAGAAAAAGTTTTTTTCAAAATCACTTCAAAATGAGTCAGTCTGTGGTAAACTGTAATAATAACAGTCATCATCATCATCGTCACCATCAACAGCAATCACAACAACATCAAAATGGCAGTAACGCATATAGTATTGCTGCTACATCAACATGCTCTGATGGTACTAATTATCCTGCAACTCTTGATGATAGCTTACCGCCTGTAGGAGTTTCCGATAGTACTTCGATCACTGATAGTACCGATGCTACCGCCGCATTTGATCGTTCTCGTCAAACACGTGTTATTGTCGCTCCAAATATATCATCATCGTCATCAGCATCAGTTCATGTTCCACAACAGCAACATCATCCAACTACCGGAGAAGTTTCATCTAATCCTGCTTTATATGGTACAACAACTCCATCATCATCATATATTACTGCACAAGCAGGTGGCTATCTATCCGGTCATTCATCTGCCGGATCATCATCAATGCTAAATTCGTCTTGTTCAAGTTCAAGTTTCGTTTATCCATCCAGTTTCTTCCAACCGTATTATGGCTTATCATCGACACTGAATGAATTCAATGTGTTGCAAATGTGTTGTCAACCATTGTTCACCGAAGTGTGTCACTTTTTTTTAAAAAATTTTTTAGAAGTTACTTTAGAGATTATTACTTTGTTTTTTTTTTTGTTTCTTGACTTCATTAATTTCACTATAGCATATAATAAATTTCAGCTAATGCTGAAAGTTACAATTCTTTTCTTTCTGTTTTAAAATTATGTTGAAAACACCGATACAGCAATTGCAGTATACTAGTTTGAAAAGGTCGTTTGTACTAAAAGGTGTATGGTTTAGTTTCGTCATAAGAAGGGGAAAGAATGATGATGCTGGCTATACTGTCATGGAATATAGGTCTCCATGATAAGGGATCTGATAATTAGGGCGATACCGTATAGCTTTTTAATTTGGACCACTTCTTTTATTTAAAAATCTTTTTTTCACGATTCTGGTCAATTTTTTTGTGTGACGAAGTTAAATAATAGAAACAAATAATTAGAATATTTCGAAGTACCTGAAGGAAAAAACTTTTTAGTAGTGATATGGTAATAAGTTGATAATACTGGCAATAAAATTTAAATACCGCGGAAATAGTATGATAACCATTCGTTGATAACAAAGTTCAAGTATTCTCAAATTATTTGTTATCAGCGTCTTGCTCTCAACGTTAAAAACATCATCAGAAAGCTTTTTCTAGATTCTCTCCTAGTCATTTCAAGAGTTTACCAAATTTGAAGAGACTTCGTTTTTTGTTTGGTTTGGAGAAGAATTGGTTGGTAAAAATTTAACTTTTTTTTGTAACGCTTCATTTCAAAATTGTTCATATTTAGAAAAGTGGGAATACGGTAACGATCCCAGCCCATCATTCATGGCAAATGCCTTCGATTTATGGTTTGGGAAGGAATTAAAATTTTCCAATTCGTCTTTTTCAATCATGATAATCAGGTAATTTTTACAGATAGCATCCCAAGGAACTGATATAACACCTACAGCCGAATCGTTGTACGGATTTGCCAATCGTCTACATCCAATTACGCCAACCGGTGAGAACTTGTTTTTCACAATCTTCATTTTTTGGCTATCCATTTGTGAATGCTCAAAGTTGCTAACTATATTGGCCTTTGATATTTCTGCTCATTGCGTCATTTATCTTAAGCCTACGTTTTTTTTAACGTTCTACCTTTCTTGTACCCGAGGATAATTTCTGCTTGACTTCTGACCCAAACTTGAGCATCAGTGAGATACTTTCTTAACGAATAAAAGAGGATGAAACTGGATAAGAAGACAAGACAGGAAGAAATAAAGCCAAAAGGAGGAGGAAGGGAGAGATGTAAAGACTTTACCACATATATACGTTCTTACAAGTTAGTGGTTGGAGTTCCAAATTTCAAAGCTATCTTGAACCGAAATAGAATCTGAGAGTTAGATGTTACTATGTTATAGATGTTATGTTACTGTGTTAGATGTTGCAGCAACAATCCTATTACAGTTCCAAAAGATTGACATTTTAATTTTTCTTGATCAATTTTACATCTTTTGTCACCAGGAATATTTTCCCTAACATTTATTGCGTTTATTTGCTCCCTTTTGGAAGCTGAAATTTTGTTGTGTTATTCAACAGTTAGCCAAATTATTTTTTCTCACTGTGTGAATGATACCAAGTTGTTATCTTGGTTGTCCATACATAGGCTTGTTTTTTCGCTATATTTCTGTTGCATGTATTCACCTAAATGCTTACTAATTTTCTAGTTGACTTAATAGCTTATTTGTTCGTCTGTTTATTTTCTTGTTTACTTAATTTCTTCCCAAGTTGTTCCCCTACTCTTTTCAGCACTAATTCTTCGAGAATGCTTTTCTCACTGACATACATTGACCTCATTTTCATCTGATCAGTAATCCTGTCATACATAATGATAGCTATTTTATCGTGCAACATTACCAATGAACCAACATTCCAATCTCTCTGTAGATGTAACTTCTGCTAAACCCGTCATCTTGTATAGGTGTATGAATTGTTAATGCTATGATATGTTTCCAGTATTTTTGATGTCTGCCTTTACGAAATTCGCATAAGCGTGCTTTTTAAATGTATTAGGCCATTGTTTCCTAAAACTTCTGGTCATTGGACACTTAGTATGACTATGACATCGGTGAATTAATGAAATGTTTTTATTTGGTTTAAAAAAATGCAAAAAGTGATATAGAGGATGCAAAAGGAAGCCGACAAAATAGATGGAATGAAGTAGAAGAACATTATGGTGCGGTTGATCAGATATTTTGGGATATATATCGTTCGGATTTGGAATATCAAAACTCTAGGGAGATAGTGAGATAACTTCTATTTCTCTTAAAGAGAAAGGTAATAATTTTCTTTCCTCAATTCCTTTTTGGTATTTTATGGGATAAATTTTCTCATTCTTTCTTAAATGTTCTTGCGTACAACTGAAATTTTTTTATATTATTAAAGTTGATTATCATCAAATTTAATGCAGCAACAATTTGAATTCATAAAGAGGAAAGATTTATTTTGCAAATTTCTTCTATTCGTCAGAAATCAACATTTTTCATGTTCTTTTTTACTTTCTTTGCTTAGGTAGATTTCATTGCTATTTTCCTGGATAT